CAGATGTTGCTTTCACTGGCAAGACTGTAGCAATCTGTCAGCATTTTTTTTTTACACATATGACCATTAATTTATGTCACATTGGTACGCTGGTCAATCAATTGGTCATACAAACATCATACAACCTCTAAAGTGAAGTTTGGGATTCTCTGTATCTCCTACCACTAGCTAAAAATGTTCTCAGAGTGCTTGTTCGCTTTCTTTCTGTGGTCAATCAAGAGTTTTTGCTTTTTTTTTTAATAGGGCTGTGAAAGTTAACAAGAACATAGCGTGTTAACGCAAATTCTTTTCGGTGCCACAAAATTTTTTGACACGCGATTAACGCATCAGGAAGCAATGCAGCATTAATGTTGTGGATGCCAAGCAGAAACAAAACTCATGGAGCAGAATGGATAAAGAAAATGACCTTTTGAATGGCAGGTTCAGCTCTCAAAGCACCGCAAGATGGTTTTCTCGACAGGACCAAAGTTATTTGCCTTTACTGTTGATGTGAATTGAGCGACCAGTGGATTACGGCAAGTCTCAAATACCACTTGCCGGCCAAGCGGACCGCTGATGCAGAAAGCCCTCCCCTCCCTCACCAAAGGCAGACCACACTGGATAGCTTGCAACAGAGAAACCTGGACAACTCTAAAGTGGAGGCAGCGTTAGGACAAACAAACACGCTAGCGCTGAGGAAATGAACTTAGTCAGTTTTCATCCCTGTTTAGAATTGATGACAACAGTGTGATTAATCGCGAGTTAACCATAGACAACAATCCAATTAATCATGATTAAATATTTCAATCAAGTGACAAAAGAATTCTTTTTTTATTATTCAATGTCCATTTGCTTGGAATAATACCTTTTCCTGTATCCAGCCACAAGCATACTTTCCTAAAAAAAGAGCCTACATTTACATAAAGAAAAAGACCCAAAATTCCTTTAAAAACCATTTATGAATAAATAAAAATAGGGCAGCTTAAGACTGACAGAAACAGTGATCCAGTCAGACCACAGTCCATTGATGGTGAGTACAATGACACGTTATATTTTGAGATACTGCTTCTCATTCACCCATATAACTATATTCCATTTTACAAACATTTGCCAGACAATTGTACAACTGCAAATGTAAGTAACAGCCTATCTGGACAGAGTTTAGGACTAATTTCTAGATTTCTATTAGAGTGATTTCTATAGCATGAGTTCTAAATGCATACAAAGAAACAAATTTTAAGTGTTACCATTCTTTTGCTGTATTGTTATACTGTGATATACTCGAATGCCATCTACCTTATGAACCAATATCAACCTTACAGGCTGTGTGAAAGGCCAACATATAACCCATAGTAAAAACAAACCCATTTGACACATAAACTCAGTTGTGTGCTAGACGCAATGCAAACAGAAAGCAAAATGGAATATGCTACTTCTACTCTGTGTGAACATTAACTAAACAAATGGACAAGGTCTATTAGCAGCCACAATAACCAAAAGACAACAGTGAGCACATCCTTTTAGAAACTGATCCATTACACAATTGCAGCTGCAGCTTCTTCCCTTACGGCTCTATGTTACATACACATGTGTAAAACAAGGTAAGCAATCTCAAAGCTCTGGAACTTCAGCACATGTAGACAATGGTAGAAGGAGAAATGAAAATGAACCCAGGTTAGGTATAAATTAATAATCTGCAACACAGTGGTAGTAAGTAGTCACAGTATAACTCCTCAAAGAACAGTATAATTGAACAAAGCTCTTCCTAAGTATGAGTATGAATAAAGTACACAAAGAAAGAGTCATACCCTGATGTAGGCCCCTCAGAGTTGGTTTAATATCAAGAGCTGTCTCTTTCTGTCTCTCACTCACACACAAACACACACCAAGAACAGTATGGCCTCAGACCTGGCAAGCAGCATTCAAGCTCTTGGAACTGCCTTCTCTCTAATTAAAAGTTGATTGCTGTGGGCCCTGCGTGTGTGACTAGTGAAATATGAGTGTGGAGAAGAGCGCATGGAAGTTTGGACTGAGTTTAGCTCTGTGCACATGTGTGAACGTATGCGCACAAAACTACTCATCTGAGTTTTTGCCTATGCATGTATATGTGCACGCATGGATCTGTGTCAAGGTCTAAGTGGAGCCTATGCATACTTGTGTCTATGCATGTGGTTTTTGGCCAGAGCTAGTGCAGAGATTGGATTGCCAGCAAGAACTGTCTGCAGGGACTCATGCAGCAAAGCAGGAGGCAAGCTGAATAACAGTGCCTTTCTCAAACTAGAAAAGGGGATCTGGAGGTGAGTTTAGCTGAACTGAACTATGCCAAATAAAATGAACAGAGGAGGAATTAGTTAAAATATACAGTTCTAGGCATCAATACAGGCCTAGCAATGAACTTTTTTTTTTTTTTTACTTACAAGTTGTGTCACTTAGGTTTAACTCTCAAAACCTAAATAAGTACAAGCTTCCACCTTGTCTACATACGACTGCACAAACCCAAACTAAATGTAATTAAGTTACCTCAATGTATAGACAATTTACAACTTTAAGGCATTTTATCACAAAACTACATTGTGTATCTTGCATTGTAAAGGATCACGTCCAAATGTGTCAACTCAAATTAAGGCCTATCACTGCTCTCAGAAATGTGAGCACTATGGATTTCCCTTTTTTTTTTTTTGATACCTCTAACTACTGAGTCCAAGGAGCACATTTGTTTGTGTGAGTGTATTTCTACATTGTTTTCACTGGTTTCATTGGTCACAATATTTGTAAAGGCAAAAAAGGTTTTTTATAGCGAGAGAGAGAGACTTTAACCCAAGGTTAGGTTCACTTCCCAAGGGTAAACAGCAAAATGTACAGTGTCTCTCGTTAGCGTCACAGTGGTAAAGTGGTGAACAGAGTGGAATAGCTGATGTTCTACTACTGTGATAGCTGTCTTGACAAACTAGAGATTAAGGAACATTTCCTTGAACCACTAAAAACCTTGGATATTAACAGCACAAGAGTAGCTGAAACAATTCTGTATTTTTGCTTTACTGCTACATGTGCGAGCACAGTAGGAAATATAAGCTCCAGCTGGTCGACCAACAACAAACCAACTACAGTATATAAATGTGAACTCTTCGCTTCCAGCTCTCAAGCAAACAGGACACTTACTACCAAGTAGGAAAGTTAACACAGTCACTTGTGACTGTGCTGATCCCAATCACACAATCAAATGCCATGGGGCAACTTTAATAAGGAAATATGTACCAAACTGACCCAACCAATAACTGATGATGACCAAACAAACCAATAATTTCTGGAGTAAATTACATTTAAAACAGCAGATAACAATCCTAAATGAATCACTAAATTCCTTCCTTTAACATCTAAAGCAGTCACAAGTCATGAGGTCAAGAACCTCAGTTCTGTGACAGGAAAGTTAAAAATATTTTAAACTTGATTTGTTTTAAAAAATACCAATAAGTAAAAAGAAAAAACAGCTCTTACATTTAGACTATGTTATGGAGGTAGCGGAAAACAATGGGTACTCTTGGGATTCCCTTATATCCACTATCATAAAACATAGAGAAGGCCATGCCAACAACACTCATCGTGTTGTCGTGCCGATGTTTTGACTGCATGGCTGCCTATGTGAGTACATACAGAGCCACCAGAAGCCAAAGTCAAATTCCTTGTTTGAGTAAACATACACTTGGCCAATAAAACTGAGTGTGATTCTGCTTTTCCTGGTATCAGCCTGTGAAGGATCACAGACCAGCCCGTTTGATAAACAGGAGTGTACAGTGACGTCACATTACAGGATTTGTGAGCAAGGTTCAAATTCTGCCACTGATATGCAACGTGCAGCGCTCCCTCGTGATCCGAGAGCACAGACCCCACATATAAACCTTCCAGCTAAGTAACCTTTTGTAACACGGACTTTCCTAATGGCTTTAAGTGACGTTATAGCATGAACTTTAACCTACAGTTCCTTTTTAATGGCAGGAATTTTGAGAAAGAAGACCATACTGAGCTAAGTTTGAGCTAAAGACTTCACAGCCTTGTCTTTGCCTCTTTCTACCACCTACCTTCATTCTCCTGGTCCTGAAATTTCCCAGGCTTCTACTTTCTGCTTGGCCTGTTTGCATTCCTGTTAAGCTCTATTTAAAGGCTTGATCACTCCAGTGGCTGGAGGAACTCGCATCTGTAGTGAGACCCCATCCCTCTGTCTCCACATCTCTTGCTGTCTCTGTCTTTCTGTCTGCATATATCTGCATCTATTTGCAGTGCATTAACCTTCATTGCTGCTTTAACAGATCAACAAATGCTTTTGGGTGACGCGTGATGTCAGTTCTTCATTTACAGACTGCCAAGTTTGTTTCCATGCTTGAGTTTGAGAGCTAGAAGCAAAATGAGAACCCACTCCACTTTTACTATTCATATTAAAAAAAATAATAATTAAATTCAATCTTGCACAGGGCTCACAAACGATTTGCCACACAAGGCTATGAGTCTATCAAATAATAGATGTTAATTCAATTTTACAATAATAGTAGCCCACATTTTAAAATCAAGTCAAAGTCATTTTATAATATTTGATAGCCTACATTGTTAGTGTGCTGCTAATTTCTTCCTACAGCTATCACCATTAACTTACCTGAATTAAATCTGAATCAAAAAGACAACCACAGCAGTCCCTTTCATCAGTAGTGAAAGAAACAACCCACTTTAACGTAATTTTATCTCATTAACACATATAAAAATGCAGTAAATGATACAATTAATTTATGAGACATTGTTGGAGGCATAAATATAAGACCTATAATTAAAATGCATGTTATACAACAGGTGTTCAGAGTGCTACACAAGCTACAGACAAGCTAGCATCGTGACCAGCACTGGAGTAAATTTCCCCCTGCTCCCTTCTGTCCCGTGCAGTGAGGCGGATAAACTTTTCGCCCCACACGCTTACAGCCTCCTAGCCGCTAATTCCTTCCTCCCCGGTTTGAAACACTTTAAACCACCAAACCTACCTTGGAAAATCTCTTCAATTCAAAGCGGCATTATTATATTGTCGCCTTCCATGGCTGAAACGTACAAGATGTTCTTGGGCTCCCCAGTGAGTCTGGAGACGAACTAGCAGGGCAGGAGAGCAACAAAGTCGGGACAAAAAGGAGGAGGAGGGGAGGAAGGAGGCCAGTAAAGTCGGCCGCAGCCTCATTGGAGGAGCTGGCTGTCACTCATTAGACTAGGTGGGCGGGTCCTAACTGTAAAGGGATTATGTAGGCTGAGCTATCAGCACTGATCCCAAGTCTGGGGCTAAGACATGTGGCACGGGAAAACATAAACCTGTTTAACGATTAAACGGAATAAAAGGACGTTATTGATCTGGTGAGGCCCCAAGGTATTGCATCTTGGGAAAGCACATGTAAATAGGCAAAACACAAGCAAACTAAGAAAGCATCACCAATTATACAACATGTGTAGCATTTTGAAGGCTGCAAAATAAAACAACACAACCAAACACAGACACAAGCTACAACTACAGAAAACATAACCTAATACAAGAATAGTGTACGTATCAGACACTAAAATGAAAATATTTCCAAAAGACATTCAAATGTGTTGGCATTAGATCCCAAAGCTCTGAGTAGATATAGTTTTTTTAGCTCATCTGTTATGAGATGGAAACATAAACACATTAGAGCAATTAAATGTCCTAGATGCTTTAGCAGACAATACATTTCATAACAGTAATATCTCATTATTGACCTTTCCTCCTCCCTTGTGAATGTAAATGGACATAGAAAAGCATCTGTCAGTGTAACAAAATGTCCAACAAAACAGGCTCAGAATTACCTCAGCATAGATTGAAACATCTCTGATACAAATTCAGCATAAACAGAGAGCAGTTTTTATTGTAGGGGGATGATATTGGTATCAGTGTATGCCTAATAAATTGGTGACTCCGTCTTCCATTAGTGTGCATTTCATACAAAATTTTACTGTTCCTTATAGATTCAGAAACACATACCTATACACATTTTTATGTTATATCAAAGTATATATTAGTTATGTAAATGTTTGACTTTTTTCACTTATATATATATGCACAGTGTGGTCAAACCAGGTGCTCTGTTTCTGGTTATTTAATTGTGAAGTGACTTTGACGTTTGACCTGGATTCCCTTCAAAACAAAAACAGCCAACCATACCCTTACCAATTGAGTTTTATTATGCCAACAGACTGACCAGTTTAGACCAAATGTGTGGCAGTTGGAGTCCAGGCCTCTCATTACAGTGACATCAATTATTCCATTCAAAAAGAGGATTTCCAGTTTATTCTGCTGTCCCGTTACTGACCAGACTCATCAATCCCAGCTTGGAATAGTTACAGTATGCCTCATTAGGATAATCATCTTTATTTGGCCAAGCATGTTACATACACAAGGAATTTGTTTCCGATATAGAACAGAGGCAGCTGTCTGCGGCATCAACTCACACCGATGGCTCTAACCATCAGGGGCAACTTGGGGGTTTAGTGTCTTACCCAAGGACACTTTTTACATGTGGACTGCAGGCACCGAGATTCAAACCTTCAACCCTCCGGTTGGGAGATGACTGCTCTACCCACTGAGCCATAGTCGCCCCACCCACGGCCGACCCACAACACAGAGAGAAACAGGAGAGCTGTGGATATCAACCAGACCTCTGAAATAAAGAGACGAGCAGAGCTTCTTCTGTGTCTCTGCATGTTTATTCTTTACCAATGCAACTATCTGTGTAGGAATGCCTGTGCTATGCAAGGTATTTTAGGACAATCATACAACAAATAATACTTTCATGAAGTTTAGAGTGTGTAAGATTTGAATCTGATAGGCTTCAGTCACTTTAAAAGCTTTAGTTACTTTTCATACCTTTAGTTACTTTTCATAACTTTATTTTCCTTGCTTATATATCTTACAATTGTATTGATGAGAGTCAAGTGATACTGAAGTAGAAACTGCCTGCTTTAATTTCTGTGTAGACATAGTGTCTGTACCCTCAGGTAACCAGACGGCCTATTTTACATTTTAACACAGACCTGTTGGCCTGTTTTGCATCCTCACATAGGCCCACTTAGCATATTCGAAGTTCTGCTTTGTCATGTAGTATCTTGCAGAGACAGGGGGCCTACAACCTGAGATGACCACCTGACCACTGGGTCCTGCTTTGTCCTGCAATACCCTATACAGATAGGGGGTCTGCAGCGCAGACAACCAATTGTTCAGCATTCACTGATTAGCGGCTGCCTGACAATCACAACACACACACACACCTGGTTTAGATCACATTCCAGCAAGCAGAATGGATTTCCTGCGTGAGCTCTGTCTCTCTGATCCCAGCGCTGTAAGACTTCACCTGTGCTCAGACTATGAGTAAACTTTCTGTTGATTTTAAACAGTCCTCTCCTGTCTTCACTTCTTGCACTTCCAACAAAGGAATTGGGTTATTTCTAACAAGTGTTACACTTTTATTTAAACTGTATCCAAATGGTCTTAATTCAAATATAATTGTAATCCTTTCAGGCCATAACTGGACTGATTGCATCTGATTCTTGTTTTTTGATTGTTTGTCCATCTGCATGGTTCTTTACTTTCAGATTGTCTCATGGTCTGGTGCCGGGTTTAACTGCACGTCCATCTGCCTATAAGCTATTATTTCTCTGTAGCTTCTTCCGGTTCTTTCAAACCAGGAACTCTCAATGAGACGAAGGAGACTGCTTTAGATTTTATAAAAAATAACCGTGCTGGTTTATTCAGAGGATCACAGGTAAAATTCACATTACACGTCCAGATCTCTCTCACCCCTCTGCCTGCGCGCAGGCAGCAGAAAAAGCTCAAGATGTCTGGACCCAACAGCCTATATAATATTAATCATTTTGGGCTATCCCCATGCTACAAGGGGCGTCAAAACCGTGACGCCACCCGATAAGCAAGCTTTGCAGCTGCTCTAACGTTTAGCCAAAACATGAGGAAAAGTCAAGGTGCGTGACTGTTGTTTTCGTGGTGTGTTCTAAAACAATTGGACATAACCTTACACATTAAGACAAATATTAAGACTAGCATTACAGTTGACCCTAACAGCTCTTTTCCTGTAACCTTGGCGTGCCTGCAGTCTGCACTGCAGGCTGAACAGTTAACAGCCTGAGCTAGTCAACCTGTCTGCACTAACATTGCTAGACAACAAATCTCTGAATATCTATCTAACTAAGAAATAACCTAACATGCCTTACTACTATATAAGATAATATACCGGTCAGTTTGTTAACATCTGCATCTACTCTGTCTCATCTATCCACCTGCCTATTTATCCCTCCTTTATAAAAGCTGCTTTTTTCCAATATCATTTAGCTACTGTATCTCTATGTTCTGTAAGATATTACCCAGTTCTTTCTACCAGGAACTCTGAGAGACGACGCAGACCACTTGGATATATAAAAAATATAACCGTGCTGGTTTATTCAAAGGATCACAGGCAAAATTAACATCACACGTCCAGGCGTCTTCCACCTCCAATACTGCGCGCAGGCAGCCCGGAAGATGAAAAAAGCCCCGTACCTAATAGCCTATACAATTTAATCACTTGGTTGGGCTAGCCCCATCCTACACAGGCAACGTCAAACCGTGACGTCACCTGATATGCCAGCTTGGCAGCTGACCAGAGCAGTAGTCAAAACATGGAGAAAATTAAAGTGTGTGGCTGTTGATTAGTGGTGTGTATCTAAAAACATACAGGACATTCAGGGACATGTCCGAACAGTAAGCCTCGGAAGATATTATAACTAAGATTACAGCTGAGCATAGCATGCTACTAGCAATATTCATCCTGTCTGCAGACTCT